GGCCTGCGTCGCTGCCTCGGGGCCCCCCCGAGGGGATGTGAGGGCGGCGGAGGGGCCGACGGGGCCCGGAGAGGCGCGGAGGCCGGCAGCACACGGTAAAGCACCGGGCGGGCGCGGGGAGGGCTCTGGCGGCTGCGGCCGGGCCGGGTCGGCAGGAGCGCGAGCCGCGCTGCGGAGTCGGAGGGTCCGAGGTTCTGAGCCCGGCAGCTGTTGTTGCGGTCGCAGGGGCCGGCAGAGTAGGGGAGAGCCGCGGCCCAGGGGAGCGGGAGGAGGCCCGGTGGGCTGCAGGTGCTGACTCTCCGGTGATCCAACTCTTTCTCGCCAGCTCCACCCGCTTTGGCCTGGACCCAACCTCCAAGGGCTAAAAATATAGCCCGCAGGCTCCTGAGCGGAATCAGATCGCGCTAAGTAGGGCACAACGCAGAGGCAACAGAGCTCCTCGGCCCGAGGGCCCGCGGAACAGACTCTGAAGCGGCGGCTCCCGCCCTACGCTCGGCCCAGCGGCTAGCATCCTTCCCCCTCTGAGCAGGCAAGTGGGGGCTGCGGGTGGTGCGGTGCCCTGAAGTTGCCCACAACCAAGCAGCTATGCCCAGCCTTTCACTACCCAGAGGACCTTGAGCTTCAGTGCTGGCTGCCAGGGTCCTTCCCAGGGGTCCCTTAAGTGCTCCGTAAGCCTCGGCTGCAAGTTACTAAGCCCAAGAATCAGAACTAACGGAGAAGACGTAGGATTTGCTTTATGTTAGAAACATAATTATCTTTCTTTCTTGTTTTTATTCATTTTGTCTTCTTAAGGAGAGAGGAGCTGTTTCTGATGAGTGCCTGTCTGTTTCAAGGGGCAGGCAGAGAGGCTTACTTGCCAGTCTCTTACCCTTTTAGCTACACAAAATAGGTACCAGTTTGTTCCTCCAGAACTGGAAGCACATGGCCAAGGAGAATGGACACACGCTTTCTCTGGCCAGCCTGTGCTGTTCTTGTAGATAGGCTCAACGGGGAAGCTGGTTATTTCAGGAGATGGTGTAAACTCTTGGAGTCAGAGTATGGGAAGTTTGTTATCCAAAACAATTTTTATGGCATCAGCCTCAGAGAGAGACAGCATGCATCATCTCCACTTTATGGCAGAACTGCTACTAGGACCAGGCAGGACCGGCCCCAGATGTGCTACAGACTTTTGTTTGCTGAGTCTTGGTCAGGAGAATAAAATCAAGTTCACAGCCCGTGTTGGGATCTAGGGCTGAGAAGCTTGCTGTTTTTGGAGTCAGGCAACTAAGTGTTCCTGGGGAGCAGCTCTTAGGATGTCGTTGGGCATTTGGTGAAAGACGGAGATTTTGCATACTAGTGCTACAGGTGGTGTCCCTTCTGCCAGGTGTGTGTGGAGGCCAGAATGAAGCTGAAAAAGCAGGTGACAGTGTGTGGGGCTGCTATCTTCTGCGTGGCTGTCTTCGCACTCTACCTCATGCTGGACCGAGTGCAGCACGATCCCACTCGGCACCAGAATGGTGGAAACTTCCCCAGGGTGAGTCATGGCTGGTTGCTGACCTCTTCAAATACAAGACAGTGGACTCAGGTTATCCCCCAAACAGGAGGGTCACATCAGCCCAGGACGGTAGCATTCCTTCCCAGTAGGCAGGTTTTCTAGAAGCCCCAAGCGAAAAACAGTGATGACAAAAAGAAGAAAAATGGCAGTATGCATCGCTAGTCTGTCCTGAATTCTTGGCAGGCATTGATGGATTGGAGCATTCTTTCCCACTAAGCCTTGATGCGGTCCTTCTCAGCATAGTGCTCGAGACAGCCAACGCCGATGGTTCAGGATAGGCATGTGAGAGAAGATCTCTGCCATCCCTGAGCTACAGGGTGATGGTACTCCCAACCCACATGGATGGTGGTCCTCAGTAGTGGTTTGCACGTCTTCCCTTATCTGACCAGACCCGTCCATCCTCGTAGATTCGTGCTCCTGGCTTCTTTTGAGGAGGGAAGGATCCTAGTTGGGCCTTAGGTGGTGTGCCCCAAGCCGAGATCCTCTCTGACCCAAGGGGCTGTGGGTGACTGCTCTGGTTTCTTGGCAGAGCCAAATTTCTGTGCTGCAGAACCGCATTGAGCAGCTGGAGCAGCTGTTGGAGGAGAACCATGAGATCATCAGCCACATTAAGGACTCCGTGCTGGAGCTGACGGCCAACGCAGAGGGCCCGCCGGCCCTGCTGCCCTACTACACGGCCAATGGCTCCTGGGTGGTGCCACCGGAACCCCGGCCCAGCTTCTTCTCCATCTCCCCTCAGGACTGCCAGTTTGCTTTGGGGGCCCGGGGCCAGAAGCCAGACCTCCAGGTAAGAGTCAGAGTGGCAGGGACCCACAGTAGCCATGGATGGGGCCCTGAGCTGCTCTCCTGCCTGGCAGATGCTAACTGTGTCGGAGGAGTTGCCGTTTGACAACGTGGATGGCGGTGTGTGGAAGCAAGGCTTTGACATCTCCTACAGCCCACACGACTGGGATGCTGAAGACCTGCAGGTGTTTGTGGTGCCCCATTCTCACAATGACCCAGGTGAGGGCCCACAGGCCCCTGGGAGCTGGGGTGCAGAGCGGGCTTTCTGCTGGCCAGAGTGTGGGAGGGACAGTTGAAGGAGATGGTGGAATCCTCAGGGGTCTGTTTCCTCCCCCCCAGGCTGGATCAAGACCTTTGACAAGTACTACACAGAGCAGACCCAGCACATCCTCAATAGCATGGTGTCCAAGCTGCAGGAGGACCCCCGGCGGCGCTTCCTCTGGGCGGAGGTCTCCTTCTTTGCCAAGTGGTGGGACAACATCAATGCCCAAAAGAGAGCAGCAGTCCGAAGGCCAGTGTCAATCGAGGAGTCATAGGAGGGCTGTTTAGGAGCAAAAGGAATGGAGGAAGGTCATCTGGGCCCCACATCTGGGTGTATAGGTCTCGCCTTAAGCTGTAGGTGCCAAGGTGGCAGTGTGAGGCAAGGGGAACCGTGGCGGGCTGATGGTAGAGGGGATGAGAATGAGAAGGCAAGGATTGGTTTGAGGGCTGCTAGCCTCGGGAGAGAGGGCAGTGGTAGTTCAGTGATAGAATTCTTGCCTCCCGTGCAGGAGACCTGGATTCCCTTCCCAGCCAGTGCACCTCATGAGCAGCTGCCACCCATCTGTCAGGGGAGGCTTGCATGTTGCTATGATGCTGAACAGGTTTCAGCAGAGCTTCCAGGCTAAGACTAGGAAGAATGGCCTGGAGATTTACTTCTGAAAATCAGCCAGTGAAAATCCCATAGATCACAATGGTCTGATCCCGTTGTGCATGGCGTCACCATAAGTTGGTGGCCAGCTTGGCGGCAGCTAGCAACAACAACAACATCTGGTATAGAGAGGCCCTGGGTGGGGCAAACGGTTAGCACACTCGACTGCTAACTGAAAGGTCGGAGGTTTGAGTTCACTCAGAGGTGCCTTGAAGAGAGGCCTGGCAGCCTACTTAACAAAAAATCAGCCATTGAAAACCCTATGGAGCACAGTTGTATTCTGACACACATGGAATTGCTATGAGTTGGAATTGACAACAACTGGTGATTTAGTAGGAGAGATTAAAGTTGTGTGAGCATAAATGAAGAGGGAGTATGGGGCTGTAGTCCTAAAAGCATGGATAGAGTTCCAGAGATAAGCAGGATGTAGGACAGCATAGAGGGTGGTTGGAGGGAAGGGGAGCGCGTGTGTTTGTTCTCGTGGTCCTGGGTTTGGTGCACTGGCTCCCCAAGGCTGCATACAGCCCTAGCATCTTCTGGTTGGTAGTTCTGGACCAGGCCTGGGAAAGAGTCCCCACCCTATGCTGAGCATGAGTCCCCGACTACAGGCTGGTGGGAAACGGGCAGCTGGAGATTGCAACAGGAGGTTGGGTGATGCCTGATGAAGCCAACTCCCACTACTTTGCACTGATTGACCAGCTCATCGAGGGCCACCAGTGGCTGGAGAAAAACCTCGGTAAGTCCAGGCTCAGAAAAAGGAGCCTGCCCCTGTAGATGGGGCCCAGAGGACATCAGGGTACTGTAAGGCACAGGGATGTTGGGGGGGGTTCCTTTCTAGGTGAATTCCACCAGTGTGGGCCTGGTGGAATGGCATTTGACCACTGTCCATCAAGGCAGGAGCTGAGGCCCCAGCATCCAGGAGGCGGAGAGGCCAGGCTTGAGGTGTTCAGGGCCTCTGACTTCTGTGCCCTTGCCCAGGTGCAACCCCACGCTCTGGCTGGGCAGTGGACCCCTTTGGACACAGCTCCACCATGCCTTACCTGCTACGCCGTGCCAACCTGACCAGCATGCTGATCCAGAGGGTGCACTATGCCATCAAGAAGCACTTTGCTGCCACCCACAGCCTGGAGTTCATGTGGAGGCAGACATGGGGTAAGGCCAGGTGGGGTGGAGGGGCCACCAGAACATGTTTTTCCCTGGGGAAGAGCAGGGATATTATGCCCCTGCTATTCTTCAGACCAAAGGTCTCTGGGTGGCACAAATGGTTTGTGCTCAACTATTAACCTAAAGGTTGGTGGTTCAAACCCACCCAGCGGCACTGCGGAAGAAAGCCTGTTGATCTGCTTCCATAAAGATTCCCGTTGCAGTCAAGTCGATTCTGACTCATAGTGACTCTATAGGACAAGGTAGAACTGCCCCATGGGGTTTCCTAGGCTGTAATCTTTATGGAAGTAGACTGCCACATCTTTCTCCCGCGGCAGCAGTTAAGCACTCAGCTGCTAACTGAAAGGTTGGTGGTTTGAACCCACCAGCTGCTCTGCAGGAGAAAGATGTGGCAATCTGCTTCCATAAAGATTAAAACCTTGGAAACTCTATAGGGTAGTTCTACTCTGTCCTTTAGGGTTGCTGTGAGTTGGAATTGACTCCACATCAACAGGTCGGCCGTAAAGATTATAGCCACAAAAACCGTATGGAACAGTTGTACTCTATAACAGATGGGGTCGCCATGAGTCGTAATCACTTCCACAGCAGCCGGTTTGGTTTTGGTCTTTGGCTCTTCAGACCAGACCACAAGCACTGGGACAGGCTGCCAGAAGCGGTCACTCCTTCACTTTAGGCGGGGTCACATTGACCTCTGCGCTCTACAGAGCCTGATGGCTGTTCCCAAGGGCCTGAGCCTACCGTGGGTCACCACCCTGGCAGATCCATGGGCTCTGGGCCCTCCCTGTGTCCTGACCCCTGGCCTGCATGTCCTCTACAGCCTTAAGCCCAGTTGGAGCCGTGCCTTCTGTCAGGGCTGCCTTTAACCAGCCCAGACCCTCGCCCTTCGGTGTCCCTGTGCCCAGCTCCAGAGACTGCCTGCCGGCAGCTGACTGCACAGTGTGTCTTCCACAGACTCAGACTCCAGCACAGATATCTTCTGCCACATGATGCCCTTCTACAGCTATGATGTCCCCCACACCTGTGGCCCGGATCCCAAGATCTGCTGCCAGTTTGATTTCAAACGCTTGCCTGGTGGCCGCATCAACTGCCCTTGGAAGGTGCCTCCCCGGGCCATCACGGAGGCCAATGTGGCTGAGAGGTATTTGCTTCCAGCTCTGGGCTGCGTGTGGTGTTGCCATCTACACCCCATGGAGGAGTCAAGAGACCTGGCTTCTGGGCTGGGCTTTCCCAATAAGGGGGCTGCCTGACTCAGCCCGGCCATGGCTGAGCTTCCATAAAATGGAGGAGTTGGGCTTGGGTGATGGGTTCAGGCCCATGGCAGTTTTGGTGGTGGCCCCATACTAAGTCTCCCTGGAAAGCTGGCAGGGCTCTGAGGAATTACCTTCCTTAGAATGTTTTTAGTTTCCCCAAATGATTATGCATACAAGTGTCCCAGCAAACTATTAGAGCCAGTTGACTAACTCAGGTGAATGAATCTCAGATTAAGTACAGTTCTTGTAGACCATAGGCTAATAAGCCCGAAGTTAGCCTGGGCATTCTGACTTGGCCCTAATCTAACCAGCATCCTCAGAGGTCAGTTGACCGGGAATCCCATTCTCCTAGAGATCCTCAGATTCACCTCAGTCCCAGCAAACAACCTCAGCTTCCAAGGAAAGACCTGTTCTCTTTGAGAGAACCTTTAGGGACCCCCTAAAGATTTCACTATTGCTAAAGTCAGCCCCCCCGCTGGGAAAATGCTGATGAAGAATGATCGAAACAGAGGTTTAGCCAGAACCGAGTGGCCTTAAGAATATAACAAGTTGAACTGGTTTTCGTGTTGCAATGCTCAGATTTCCATGATGTCTAGGAGGTGAAACGTGACCGAAGGGGAAAGAAGCGTCTTTTGTTTCCAGAATCCAGAAACCTAAATGCTGGCTCCAGGCAAGAATCTAGGGCTATTCAAGCCTGGTTTTTCTTAAAGTAGCAACTGGGATCTAAAGTTGCCGGCCTAGGTTTACAGAGGACAATCCGAGAGAGAGAACTGCATTTTCTCTTTTGAACAGATTACTGGACTGATAAAGCAGGGAAAGGTGGTATTTGAAGCATCCTCTTTTGATGTTCTTGAGAGCAAAATAGGAAAGCACAGGTTAAGCCAGTACAGTTAAGTAGATTGGTGGCTGGTTCAGCTGTGATACCCATCACCTGCCAATTACTAGGGTGGTCTAAAAAGAAGAAGGGGATTCTAATGATCTGTTAGAGAGCTTTATTTTTCCGTTGGTTTTACCAGCAATCTGGGTGAAATACAGAAAATAACAAATGCTTATATATAGTTTCTAGGAGTCCCTGAAAGTACCCTGTTGGCACAGTGATTAAATGCTTGGCTGCTAACTGAAAGAGTGGCTGTTCAAACTCACCAGCCAGTCCGTGGGAGAAAGATGTGGCAGTCTGCTTGCATAAAGATTTACCGTCTTGGAAACTCTATGAGGCGGTTCTGCTCTGTCCTGTACGGTCACTATGAGTCAGAATCGACTGCATCAATAGGTGGGAGTCCCTGGGTGGTTAATGCGATCAGCTGCTAACTGAAAAAAGGTTGGAGGCGCGAGTCCACCCAGAGGTGCCTTGGAAGGAAGACCTGGCAATCTATTTCCAAAAACCCTGTGGAGCACTGTTCTTCTGTGACACACATGGAGTCGCCATGAGGCAGAATCGTCTCAACGGCAACTGTGTTTGTTTTTTTAAATATGTAGTTGGAGCCCTAGTGGTACAGTGGTTAAGAGCTTGGCTGCTAACCAAAAGGTCAGCAGTGCGAACCCACCAGCCACTCCTTGGAAACCCTGTGGGGCAGTTCTGCTCTGTTCTATAGGGTCGCTATGAGTCGGAACAACTTGACAGCACCGGGTTTGGTTTTGTTTGGTTTACTGTGTGCCAGGCAGTGTTCTAAGTACTTTACAAATATGAGCTCATTCAATTTATTTTACTCCTCTTAACATTATGAGAGAGCCCTGGTGGCGCAGTGGTTAAGAGCTTGGCTGCTAACCAAAAAGTCAGCAGTTTGAATCCACCAGACACTCCTTAGAAACCCCATGGGGCAGTTTACTCTGTCCTGTAGGGTCTACATTGTCGCTATGAGCTGGAATTGGTTGGACGGCAACGAGTTTGGTTTGGTAACATTATGAGGATATATGGCTACTGATGTTATCCTTATTTTACAGAAAGTGAGGCACAGAGAGGTTAAGTAACTTGCCAAAAGTCACTCAGCGAGTAAGTGCAGAGGTGGCATCGGCGTGGTCTGGCCACCAAGCCCAGGCTCTTCACTCCCACTTGTGCTGCATCACACACTGGTGGGCACGATGAAGCTGGAGTGTCAGAGCCCAGATCCCAAAAGATCTCAGCAGGTTGGGATGTGGGTCACATCCAACCAAATAAGATTCATTTGAGATGAATGTAGCTTAGCTTCAGAAAGCAGAATATGAAGGTTCAGGATGAGAAGAAAAGGGCTGTCTCAGCCACATCTACAGAGAACACCATAAGTCACATTAAGCACAGTTTGGGACGGTGTGGTGGCTGCCAAACACGGCCATGGGGACACACTGCTCCCAGGGAAGTTCTAGGCCAGACTGAGGGGTGGTTTGTCCTCCCTTTGCTGGTTGCCCACCCTGGGCTCCTGTACCCAGTGCTAGGCCCCTCACTCTGAGGATCGCTGGCACACTGGGGCTGTCAGGGAGCTGACAGTGAGCAGATTCCAGACAGTGCTGTGTGGGAACCATGTAGATGGGGGAGCTGGGATTGTAGAGCCTGAGGAGAAAGCACGGAATGTGAGCACATTTTTGATAGATCTGAAGAATGATCGTGGGAAGAAAGATTGACTTGTATATAGTGTCAGAGAGCAGAACTAGGGTCAGGGAATTGAAGCCATAAATTCCAGCGTAGCTTAAGGGAGACCTCTCAGGTTGTCAGAACCGTCTGGAGAACACTGGGTCCCTTTGGGGCTGGGCTTTCCCTCCCAGGAGTATTCACATGAAGGCGGAAGGGCTTCTTGATAGGGGTGTTTCAGGGGGCCAAGTCAGGGATGGCTCTCCGTGGGGACGCCCTGGTGCTGAGTCCTCATGTTGGGTTCTGCCCTTTCCCACCCGCAGGGCAGCCCTTCTTCTGGACCAGTACCGGAAGAAGTCCCGGCTCTTCCAAAGCAATGTCCTCCTGGTGCCACTCGGTGACGACTTCCGCTATGACAAGCCGCAGGAGTGGGACGCCCAGTTCTTCAACTACCAGCGGCTCTTTGACTTCCTCAACAGCAAACCCGACCTCCATGTGCAGGTGTGGGGGGCTCAGCCAGGGAGAGGCCTCAGCAGTGCTGCAGCCCCGTCCTTCTGTGACGGTCTGTGCTCCCCATTACCGGCTCCAAAGCAGGGCTCATTCCAACTCTAGCAGGGTTTTCCTTGTAAGAATTCTCTCCCTGGCTCCCAGCTTCTCTGTGAAGCTAGAGAGGGTGACATATGGTGACAGCCTCTGCTTAGGCACAGCCCCTGCCCTCACCCCCCACTGCAGCACTGTGGCCACAACTCCCACGAGGCTCTGGAACTGACGAGAGTGGGTTTTTGGGGTCCCCACAGGCCCAGTTCGGCACTCTCTCCGATTATTTTGATGCTCTGTACAAGAGGACAGGGATGGAGCCAGGGGCTCGGCCTCCAGGGTTTCCTGTGCTGAGCGGGGATTTCTTCTCCTATGCGGACCGGGAGGATCATTACTGGACAGGTTACTACACTTCTCGGCCTTTCTACAAGAGCTTGGACCGCGTTCTGGAAGCCCACCTGCGGTGAGAACCCCCTTTCCCAGGCTGGAGGTAGTGGGAGGAGGGCTTGGGGAGGGGCTGGATCCAACAGGGAATATAAGGGTGTAGAGACCAAGGCAGGTAGAAAAGTGGTGGGGAAGAAGGGGATCAAGCTCCTGCTTGGAGAGCGAGGGTGGGACCCTGGGGAACTGTGCTGGCTGGTGGCTGACTCCTCTCTCTGGGCAGGGGGGCAGAGATTCTGTACAGTCTGGCTGTGGCCCACGCCCGCCGCTCTGGAATGGCTAGCCAGTACCCGCTCTCCAACTTTGCCCTTCTGACGGAAGCTCGGCGCACTCTGGGCCTCTTCCAGCACCACGATGCCATCACTGGCACCGCTAAGGAGGCAGTCGTGGTGGACTACGGGGTCAGGTGGGACCCTCTCCTCTCCTCCATCAGCTCCACAGCCCCTGCCCACCTTCCCAGGAAAGGATGGATGTGGCAGCCAACTGGCAGGCCGGCCGGCTGGGAGCTTGTCCTGCTGGCAGGGCGGACAACCTCACTGTAGCGGTGTTTTGCGGGCCCTGCATTGCTCATCTTCTCCATAGTCTGTCTTCCGCCCGCCCACAGGCTTCTGCGATCCCTGGTCAGCCTGAAGCAGGTCATCATCAACGCAGCTCACTATCTGGTGCTGGGAGACAAGGAGACCTACCACTTTGACCCCGCGGCACCCTTCCTCCAGATGGTAAGCCCTGCCCCGGAGGTATGTGTGGGGTGGGGGTGGGGGGGGTGGTCCAGAGAGCTGTTGTGTGAGGGTGGCACTCCCCTGTTTCTTCCCTGCCTTGAAGGAGAGTTCTGAGTCCAGGACAGCTGGTGATCCGCATCCAGGACGTGCTGAGGGGGTGGGCACACAGGGAGGAGGTGGGACTCGGGGTCAGGCCAAACCGCAGGATGGTTCTTCCCTTCCCACCCAGGATGACACCCGCTTAAATCACGATGCCCTGCCAGAGCGCACCGTCCTCCAGCTGGATTCCTCACCCAGGTGGGCCACACCAGGCCTAGTGCTGAGAGAGAGACCCACCTGAGGCTCTTAGCGCCTCCCTCCCTCCCCCTGCCCCCAACCCCTGCCCCCTGCGTCAGCCCGCCTTATGTTGGCAGGTATGTGGTGCTATTCAATGCACTGGATCAGGAGCGGCTGAGCGTGGTATCCCTGCTGGTCAACTCACCCTGGGTGCGTGTGCTCTCAGAGGAGGGCCAACCCCTGGCCGTGCAGATCAGTGCGCACTGGAGCTCTGCCACGGACATGGCGCCCGACGTCTTCCAGGTGAGGCAGGTCCTCCCTCCACCCACCGACACCAGCTGCTCACCCTCCTGCTGCGGCACTGCTTACTCCCCAGCTTAGGGGTGGGAATCTTGGGGAGAGGGTTGCCCAGAGGACAGTCACCCTTGCAAATGGAGTCTGTCCTTGGAAAGAAGATGAAGGTTTTTGTGGTAACGATAATAGTAAAAATGACATTTGTAACGTCCTGGTCATTCATTCACGTAACAGATATTTATTGAAAGTTTTAACGTGTGGTTATCACCTCATAGTTTTTCAAGTATCATTTGAGACTCTTAAGAGTTTGACAAGGAAGAAGGGGCAAATGATGTCACCTCCACCATCGGCGGGCGGGGGTGGGGACAGAGGCCCTGGGAGGGTGGGTGTTGGGCCTTTCAGTAAGCAGACCTGCCTGGACTAGAATCGCAGGGCTGCATCTAGAACTGTTGCTGCTGTGTGGCCCATGCTTCCTCTTCCTCCTGTGCCAGCAGGTGTCTGTGCCCGTGCGCCTGCCAGCCTTGGGCCTCGGCGTGCTGCAGCTGCAGCAGGGCCTGGACGGGCACCGCACCCTGCCCTCCTCTGTGCGCATCTACCTACACGGCCGGCAGCTGTCCGTCAGCAAGCATGAAGTGTTCCCGGTACGCGTCATTGACTCTGGCACCACAGACTTCACCCTCAGCAACCGCTACATGCAGGTCTGGTTCTCAGGCCTTACTGGGCTCCTCAAGGTAAAGGGCCAGGGGTGGTGGGGAAGGGCCCGGGCTGGAGGAGGGGCGTGTGTTGGGAGAGCTGGCGGAGCAGGGGTCCTGGAGCAGTGCAGAGCTGTCTCCAGGGCTGTCCTGCCCGCTGACGGAAGGTGGACGTAGGTGTGGGCATCTCAGCTCCCAGCTACCAGCACGGGGAAGCTGGGCTTGGCCCCTTGGGGAATTTTGTCCGTGCCCTCCTGGGGGCAGGCCTGATGTGCTGGGGTGGGGCCAGGGGTCAGGGCTGTGTTTTTTGGCAGAGCATCCGAAGGGTGGATGAGGAGCAGGAGCAGCGGGTGGACGTGGAGTTCCTCGTCTACGGCACCCGCACGTCCAAAGACAAGAGCGGAGCCTACCTCTTCCTGCCTGATGGCGAGGCCAAGGTACCCTAAAGACACCTCACACAGCCACTGGGGCCTGGGCGGGCTCCCTTGCAAGGAAGGCGTGCGGAGACAGATGAACTGAGGCGGTGAGGAGGGGCATGGATCTACCAGGAGGAGGGTACCGGAGGCCCTGCCTTCCTCCAGGGTGGTCCCTGCCTTTGCTGCCTCTGGCAGGTAGGGTGGCTGGGGGACTCTCACTGGGGACTTGGGTCCAGTTCTGTCTGAGTTTCTTAGTGCTGTTGTAACAAATACCACAAATGGTAGTTTTAACAAATTTATTTTCTCACATTTTAGGAGGCTTGGAGTCTTAAAGGCAGGGCACTGGCTCTAGGGGAAGGCTTTCTCTCTGTCTGCTCTGGGGAAAAATCCTTGTCTCAGTTTCTCTAGAGTTCTTCTCGGAGTTGCTTGGAGATCTTTTCCCCGTTTGTGTTTGCTTCTGTGTCTAATCCGTTTTTTTTTATATCTCGGAAGTAGTTAGGTTTAAGACAAACTCTACACTGATAGGGCCTTGTTAACATAACAAAACCCTACTCCCGGATGGGATTACACCCACAGGTATAGGGGTTAGGATTTACGACACATCTTTGGGGGACACAGTTCAGTCCATAACACTGGGAGGCTCTCACTGGGGGCTTGGGTCCAGCTCCGCTCAGGGGCGTCAGGCCAGAGCCTGCTGGGAACGAGTATTTCCCTTGCCCAAGCCTAGGCTTGCACTTCCCAGCTTTGCTCCCTGTGCTGTGGGCTCAGCCACCACCTGCTCTTTCCCCAGCCCTATGTCCCCAAGGACCCTCCTGTGCTGCGTGTCACTGAAGGCCCTTTCTTCTCAGAGGTGGTTGCCTACTACGAGCACATTCACCAGGTGGTCCGGCTTTACAATCTGCCAGGTGAGGGGGGCCTCTGGGAAGAGCTGTGGGCTCCACAGAGCTTGCCATGCTCTTCCTTTTGCCCCTTCTCCATTCAGACTGGCAGGTAAATTTCTTGTTCCCAACAAATGTAACTTTCCAGATGGGGATGTTTAAGTCTTGGAGAAACGGTCACCAAGAATGCTCTGGGACTAGCTGGGGGAGTTGGGCCAAACCTCTCCTGGCTCAGCCTTGATTTCTCACAGCCGCTCAGGCTGTGGCTGGTCTTCACCCCTGTCCTTCTCTCCCCTTGTCCCTGTGCCCAGGGGTGGAGGGGCTATCTCTGGACATGTCGTCCCTGGTGGATATCCGGGACTACATCAACAAGGAGCTGGCCCTGCGCCTGCACACAGACATTGACAGCCAGGGCACCTTCTTCACTGACCTCAATGGCTTTCAGGTGATTCCTTGGGCCGGGGGCCCCAGAGACCCCACGGAGCTGGCCTTGGACTCTGCTTTTTGCCTCCATCACAGTCTTAGAGGGGTGGTCTGCCCTGAGAGAGAGGGAGGAATCCGAAACGAGAGTGATCAAGGGCATCTTTATACGGGGGCCCCTTGGGAGCAAATGGTGCCCAGCTGCCCTGCTCTGCTAGTCTTGTCCCCACAGGTACAGCCACGGCGGTATCTGAAGAAGCTGCCTCTCCAGGCCAACTTCTACCCCATGCCCGTCATGGCCTACATCCAGGACATGAAGAACCGCCTCACTCTGCACACTGCCCAAGCCCTGGGTGTCTCCAGCCTCGGCAATGGTGAGTAGGGCAAAGAGAAGCCCATCCCACCCCCAGGCCTCCTGCCACACAGGCCTCCCCCTCCTCTTTGCTGTCTGCGTGGCTTCCGTCATTGGGCAGGGCCAAGCTGTTAACAGCTGCTGTTGGTCACATAAGGGGAGTAGGAGAAAGGCAGACAACTGCTGTCACCTACAGCCCTGGTGGAGGCAGCAGTGGAGGCAGCTGGGGTGGTGGGTGCCTTATCAGGTCCCCTAAGAAGCATCACGTATCCAACAGTGATTCTCAACTGAGGTGTGCAGTCTCCTTCCCTTAGCCAGGGGTGGAAGTAGGGATCATCTGAAAAGTGCATTCAGTGTCATAATGAAATGTTTAGGAAAGGAGAAAAAAATGTTCTGTTTTCCTTTTAACGGTCATTAAAAGAGAGTGACTTTCTTAAGACCCAGAACAAGGGCATTGAGGAGCACTGCCTGCCTGGTAACTCTGGGCGTGCCTCAGTGGCTCCCATATCCTCAGGGTAAAATGAACAGCTTGGGCTTGGTGACCTCGGAGGCCCTGGGGTCTTCATTTGCGGGACTGAGCCTTTGTGAAGGGCCGAGCCGACAGTGCCAGGGCCAGGCTCTGCCCATGGGCTGGTGAGTGAGGGCTGTGGGGACTTGACTCCTGTGGAGGGATTGTGGCTGCCCCGCCCCTTTCCCCAGGAGCAGCCAGTTGCAGAAATATCCTGTGGGTCTGTCGATCTCATTGATTCCTAACTATAGCCTAGTATCCCCAGTTGATTATTTCTCTCTGCCCCCTGTGGTTGTTTTATATCCAAGGGGCCCCTTTTAGAGTCTTCAGATATCTCTCAGTGACGTTGGTTGTTGTCAGTTGTCATCCCGTCGATTCTGGCTCATGGCAACCCCATGTGATAGCTCAGGGTAAAAAGACTGAGAACTACAAAAGTCAGAATAAGGGCTGGGGAGATGAAAGAGAAGAGAGGGCCATCTGTGTGGGAGAAGTTGGTGTGGGCCCCCTCAAGGGGTCCTTAAGAAAAACAGGTTCTGGGGAAAACCCTTATTCCAACACATTGCATTGAGCCCCTTCCCAAGCATATTTTTAAAAGGAAAGCACAGGTAAATCACCTGTCATCTCTTCCCCCACCCCCAAATGACACCTAATTTGAGCTGTGCCTGATTGGCGAGCTGGCTGTGCCTCCCTGTCACTGAGACCGCTGGTTTGGGTCTGGCCTGCTGGGGCTCCCTGACTGACCCATGCGGAGCAAGAGCAGGAGAGCCTGGGTTTTAGTCACAGCAAAATCTGCCCCAACCTGGGAGAGCCTGCCCCAGATTGGGGATCTGCAGCCACACAACTGGTGGCTGTTGATTCTTGTTTGCGCGTTTGTTTTGTTTTATGTAGCTGGTCTCAGCGTGGCTCCCTGCCTGGGTGCCTCTGTCTGGGCCGCACTCCTGAGTCACAGGGCAGGGCAGTAACCACCAGGCTTAGCCTGCCCTCTTCTGGGCCTCGTTTCATCTGTAAAATCAGGGCACAGGAACATCTCTTCACTAAGCTCCCTCACAGGCTCCATGACTTCTTTCTCTCCTGAGGGACTGAGCTTTGTGTTCATCTCAGGGACTTTTCCCTCAGGGCCTGTGGTTGGGCTCTTCTTCCAATGATCGGTGTCTGCCTGGGGGTCTGGGGCAGGCCAGGGGCTCACAGTTAACTTCCCCAGGCCAGCTGGAGGTGATCTTGGACCGGCGGTTAATGCAGGATGACAACCGGGGCCTAGGCCAAGGGCTCAAGGACAACAAGAGAACCTGCAACCGTTTCCGCCTCCTGTTAGAACGGCGAACTGTGGGCAGTGAGGTAAAAGCGGGGCCTAACTCCCAGGGAGCCACTTCAAGCCAGTCCCTGTGGGTAGCTCTGGGGGTTCCAGCCTAGGGCTTAGGAACATAGCTAGAGTTGGACGAAGGGTAGAGAGAGTAGAGCTGAATGAGGGCTCAGAGTGGGAAGTTGGCAGGGCTGTCTTGAGAGGTAGTTTGACATTTTGCTAGTCCACCTCATGTGGCCTGGCACCTCCCTCCCGGCATCACCATCACCCGGTTGCCTGTTCATTTCCTCTTCCTCTGTGCTGCCCTCCTTGTCCCTCCTGGCCCAGCATCTTCTAACTCTCCCTGCTCTACCCTGCTCATCTCATGGTTTCCTTTGCCCCTACCAGCCTGGTTTTTTCTCCACACTGGCAGTCATGTTTAGGGGCTTGATCCCTCCCAGCAGCAGCAGTGACTGAGAGGTAAGGGGCAGTGGTGGGAGTGCGTAGCTAGTCTTAGCAAGCTGTAACTGCAGTGGGAGCTGGCGGGAGTTAGAGCCTGCCATGCACCATTTCCAGTGTCTGGTGGCACAGTGGTTAAGCACTTGGCTGCTAACCAAAAGGTTGGCGTTCAGACCTACCAGCTATTCCACAGAGAAAGATGTGGCAGCCTGCTTCCATAAAGATTACAGCCTTAGAAACCCTATGGGGCAGTTCTGCTCTGTCGATAGGGTCGCTATGAGTTGGAATTGACTCGGCAATGAGTTTGGTTTTTAGTATTTTTTGTGGTTCTGTCACTTTCTTACCAGATGGACACTGAGCACTTGCTGTGTTTCAAGGACTGAGAGGGACACAAAAATGTATAGGATACAGACCCCACTCCCTAGGAATTTACTCGTCAGTGGGGTGGGGGATATAAGATAGGCGTGTAAAAATACAAGGTAGAAAATGGATATGTGCCAGTGGTACTGAGGAGAGAGAAAGCATTGTAGGCTGAGGGGACCTAGAACAGCTTCCTAGAGGAGGTGTCACCCAAGCTCGGCTTTGATGAATGGGGCTATGATTGAAGTACATGAACCAAGGCTCGGGGTGGGAGGCAGGAGGGACAGTGTGACAGGGAGTAACAATGAGGTCATTCAGTTAGACTAGAGCTGTGCTGTCTAATATGGTAGCCACTAGCCACATATGGCTATTTAAATTAATTAAAACTAAATAAAATTAAAAGTTCAGTTCTTCGTTTGTATTAGCCACATTTCAAGTGCCCAGTGGCCACAAGTGGCTAATGACTATCGTATTGTGCAGCTATGGAATGTTTCCATTATTGCAGAAATCCTGTTGTCAGTGCTGGGCAGGAGCATGGTGGGGGGAGTCGGTGGGGGCAGACTGCGGAGGGCCCGAATGCCAGCTGAGGAGTGTAGACCTATCCTGGAGGCAGGGAGGGGCGCTGCCGAGACTGCCCTCAGCACATCACTAAGGACAGGGAATCGGGTGGGTGTGCAAAAAGGACACTGGAGGCAGGGGTGACAGTTTAAAAGCTGTTCAGACAGGATGTGGAGGTGGCTTGAACTCAGGCCATGGGATGGAGACATCAGGGTGGGTGTGAGGGACGCTGCAGGGGTGGAGTGGAAGAGGATTAGCAATACCTGGGCATGGAGATCAAGGGAGAGGAAGTGAGATCCGGGGCAACCAGGAGAGTGGTGCTGGGACAGAAATCCAGGAGGAGAAGTAGCCGCTCAGGAGGAAAGCTCAGCTCAGGCCTGCTGAGTGTGAAGTCCAGGTGAGCCATCAAGGGAGTAGCCCCTGGTGGGCAGAGCCATAGGGCCAGTGGGCCCAAGAACGCGGGCTGGCGCTGTGGATATAGTGTCATGCCTAAGGCCAGAGCACTGCAGAGGGCACGTCCGCAACTGGAGGCCTGTACTGCACAGTGAAACACGCATTCTTTTTTCCATCCTCCTTCCTGCACTGAGAGTCTCACTTTGTGATGGGAGATGTGACTAATGGCAGTGTGTTGCTCATGTTAGTGATATGAAAGCCAAAAACAAAAAAGAGGTAGAGAATAAATGGCCTAGTGAAATAGTCCTTTCTGAGCTGTGTAGCCTGGGAAGTGGCCACAATTGAAGGGTTAGAGGAACAGTGCCTGGAGTTAGGTACTGGGGCCCCTTAGACACAGACAGTCACATCAGGAAAGCTCCTTCCAAAGGCCCTGCTGGATGTGCTTTCCTCCCTTACCCGCATCTGGGGATCAAATTTTCAGGTCCAAGATGGCCGCTCTACCAGCTACCCATCCCTTCTCAGCCACCTGACCTCCATGTACCTGAACACCCCAGCACTCGCCCTGCCTGTAGCCAAGAGGCAGCTACCAGGCCCTGGTCTGCGCTCGTTTCATCCTCTGGCTTCCTCACTGCCCTGTGACTTCCACCTGCTTAACCTGCGGACGCTTCAAGCTGAGGTGAGTGTCCCACTCAGCCCTGTACCTCTGTGGCCATATTCCTGCCTTGCCTCACTCATACCACTTCCTGTCTCTGTCCGTCCTTCGGGGCAAAGATGCTGCGGTTCCCTGAAGTCCCTTTACTGTCCTTTGTCCCATCATCCAGGATGATGCCTTGCCCTCAGCAGAGACTGCACTTCTCTTACACCGCAAGGGTTTTGACTGTGGTCTTGAGGCCAAGAACTTGGGCTTCAACTGTACCACAAGCCAAGGCAAGGTGAGCAGGGCCCAGGTTTGAATGAGAGGGGGGCAGGGAAATGGAGCTTCTGTGAATGGCATAGCAGGAGCTTGGTGGGGCGACAGGGTGGAGAGGAAAGTGACCCTGTGGAACTTCCCTGAGGAGAAAAGGGGAAGCTGTTGATGTGTTTTCAGAGCTACCCAAGCTTGGCAAGGGCAAGTTCCAGACAAAGCACATGGCCTGAGGACTTGTGTTCCCATGAGTAGGGACCTTTATTAAGCAAAGTGGAAAACATCAGAAATAAAACACCAAATGCCATCATGCTGTTGATTGCTAAGCTCCGGTCATGGGCTCAGACGTTTCACGATAAACGTCTACACGTGCAGGCTTTCTGTGATTCCAAAGTGAACCAAGATATGGTCCCTGCCTTCAAGGAGCTCATAGTTCAGTGTAACAACAGTTCCTATGCTGGGATCCATGGACGGGCTTTGGGGTGTAGTAAACCTGAGATAGCAGGCAAACTCCTGTGCGCATGTAGGTATATTGCTAGTGAGAGGGGCCAGTGCTTCTGCCAGATTCCTAAAGAGGTGACAAGTGGAATAAATGAAGAGCTACATTATCTAGTGTATCAACACCCAGCTCAGCTGCACTTCCTCTCCTCTCCACAGGTGGCCCTGGGGAGCCTTTTCCATGGCCTGGATGTGGGTTTCCTGCAGCCAACCTCCTTGACATTACTGTACCCTCTAGCCTCGCCCTCCAACAGCACTGACATCTACTTGGAGCCCATGGAGATTGCCACCTTTCGCGTCCGTTTGGGCTAGGGCTTCTTGTGGCCCCACAGAGACTGCCTCTTAATATGAGATAAGGTTGGATAAGCCACACTGGGCACCTTGTCCTGATCTGCCTCTCAGAACTGTGACAGACTGGGCTCTGCCCTCATTTCCTGTTTATTGTTGCTTCTGTGTTTGGGGGCAACCCACAAGCCCAGTGCTGGGCAGATAGGGCAGATGCTAGTGAGAACAAGGAGAGGAGGCCATTGGTCAGAGTGGGTGGTGCCATACTCGGCTTTGGGGTATGAGCGGCCGCCCAGCTGGGCACAAGGCTCAAGCCCCCATCCTCTTCCCAAAATAAGATTAGGGGAAGCAGGGACAGGAGAGGTCAGGGGAGGCTAAGTGGGTAACAGCCCAGTGCACCAGGGTCACTGTAGGCAAGAGCTGGCTCTAAGGGGAGTGCTGGGGGTATGTAGAAACTGCTTGTCCTGGTGTGACAAGCAGGAGCACCGTGACTCTGGAAGGGGGGGTGGGGACCCAGAGTCAGCAGTGGGGGTGGCGGAGAAGGAATCCCCATTTTTCCTAAGAGAAGGCTCAACTGCTTTCTGTGAGGCTCCACTCAGTGCTCCCTGGCCTGCACACCTGGCCTGGGGCTGCACTGCAGCAGGAAGGACTCTCTAAGGATTGGACACTATGTTGTGGCCAGAGGTCATTGGACACTTCAGGTACCAAAATCCTATCTCACACTGGGCACTTGGTGTGTGTGCTGATTTGTGGGGTGGCGGCAGGTGTGGGGAGTCCTCTGCCCTACCCGACTCCTGCTTTGGTTCCTGTGCTCTGTACACCACTGTCCGCAAGAGCCCCTTCCTGTCATAGGGGGTTTTGTCTAGTAAACTTCCTTTCCCTGGAAAGAAAGTGAAGCCTCCAAGACCCTGTGTCCATGGGCACCTGGAGAAGGCTTTCAGCAGTGTCCCTACTGTCAGGCCTCGAAGCTTCACTTCCGGCACATCCTTCCCAGAAGCATTCAGTTCCCTGGCACAGGGCCTAGGGCTCTGTAGAGTCAGGAGGCAGTACAGCTGCTCGCCAGCCTTCATTTCAGCTTCAATTAATAGAGAAAAATTTACGATAGTCTCTATAGACGCTGAAAAGATACATGGTGAAAAATTAAAATCCATCCCGTATTAAAACTCTTGTAAGTTAAGACTAGAAAGAAACATCCTAATCTAGATAAAGGTCTCTGTGAGAAACCAACGGTGAATGGCATTCTAGCATCACACAGCACAGGCAAACCCAGGGAAGTCAGAAACCAGCCAGGGACATTAGCCTGGTTCTGGCACTGTGAGCTCTGAGGGCAGTGAGGAGTTACCACCGTCATTTTCTGCAGATGATAGAAGTGCCTACGTATAAAATCTAAGAGAATCAACTGAAGACTAATATGAGCATTGTGTAAGTTGACCCAAATGAAATACGTATCATGTTCCTGTAAAGATTTTGGTTTTCCCCAAATCAACCATGGATTAAATCAGTATGGTACTGGAGTGGGCTCAGAGAGACCAACTGATGGGACAAAACAGAGCCCAGAAATGGACCCAGGTACACGAGAATTTAGTTTATGATCAAAGTGGTATTTCAAGTGGAGCAGAGATGGATTATTTAATAAACAGTACTTTGAGACAACTGGCTATCTATGAAAGTAATAGAACTCTACCTCATAGCTTACACAAAAATTCTAGGTGGAAAAAAAAAATAAAACTACAAAATTACTGAAGAAAATATAGACTATCTTTATACCTCTGGTGTGGGGAAGTCTTTTCTAAAAATAAGAAGCCTGAAAGACATAAGGGAAAAGATAAAACAGATTTTACCATCAAAAAAATATTGAAAGTTCCTGTATGATGGAAAATATCAACGTTAGAACACAACAGATTTGGAGAAAATATTTGCAGCATATAAATCAGTGGTTACAATTGGCTTCAGAGAAAAGCTTGCTTTGGGGACTTTAGAGGAAGTCACTGGGGCCTGTGAACTAGCTACCTAAAGATTCAAGGGTGACGCAGCTGAGTTCTTCCAGGCCATCCAGGCTTGTTGCTGGGCTCAGATTCTAGTTTTACCACTTGCTGTATAACATTGGGCATGATACGAAACCTGTAAAGTCTGTTTTCTCAACTGTATCTAAATCATAGTGGAAGAAATAAGATAATATGAAGTGCTTAGCAGAGTGCCTGGGACATATACCAAACCACACCCACTGCCATCAGTTCGATTCCAACTCACAGCGACCCCATAGGACAGAGGAGAGCTGCCCCATAGGGTTTCCAAGGCTGTAAATCTTTACGGAAACAGTTTGCCACATCTTTCTCCCACAGAGCAGCTGGTGGGTTTGAACCACTGGCCTTTCAGTTAGCAGCCATGCACTTTAACCACTGCATACCAGGGCTCCTTTTTGGTACATATAAGAGCTTAATAAATATGAGGTCTAATCATATTAGTAAAGGATGCTAAGCAATTATGTCATTAAAAAAAAAAACCCAAAGCCATTGCCATGGAGCTGATTCCAACTCATAGCGACCCTACAGGACAGAGTAGAACTGCCCCATAGGGTTTCCAAGGAGCGGTTGGTGGATTCGAACTAGCAACCTTTTGGTTAGCAGCCTGGCTCTTAACCACTGCGTCACTAGGGCTCCAATTACATCTTGTTAGGTGCCGTCAAGTCAGTCCCACCCAACTCATAGCAGCCCTATGTACAACAGAAGGAAGCAAGCCTAGTCCTGCGTCATCCTCATGACTGTTAATGCTTGAGTCCACTGTTGCAGCCACTATGTGATCCACCTCATTGGTGGTGTCCCTCTTTTTCGATGAGCCTCTACTTTAGCAAGAATGATGTCCACCTTACGTCATAGCAGGTGTTATTTGCTAGTATAATTTGGAATTAAACAATAGGGGAGAATCTGTGAGCCCCTAGGAAATGAGCAGAACAAAGGATATCATCTTTGGAGTCTTAGATGTGCAGTGAAATCATTCATCTTCCAGGAACTACACTGCTGTTTCATCCTGCACACTAGTCTTTGAGAACTACTTAAGGCAGCATTGCTCAATGTGTGGTCCAGGATCACTGGACTTACTTACTGAAAGTACAGATCTCTGCACTATCCTGAATAGGACTGCTCCTTCAGCCTGGATGCTGGAGATGGGTGGAGCAGAGTTACAGCTCCCCTGAGGCTGACATGTAACAAGGTGTGTATGTGGTGGTTGGGGGGAGTAGATTCCTAGGTACAACCTATTGAACCAATTTCCGGGAGGAGGGGCCAAGGAATTTTCATTTTTAACAAGCTCACCAGATGATTCTTTTACACATACAATGTGGAAATGGGCCTGCTGTCTAAGACATGTAGCAACCCATTACCACTAAAGCCTCAGTTCTGGGGCTATAATCAATACTAGAACCAGGATATAATGCAGATGCAAATTCAACCACTAGAAATAGAATTCTGTCCCTCCCTGCAGCCTTTCATCCACTTAACTATCAAGTTTCCATGGAGAAGGCAGGCCTGTATGGCCAGTTGGAAACCAGGATATGTGTAAATTGTGAAGTGCCATACATGTAAGTTGTCAGGTGACCTATTATCACAGATTTAAGGTGATAATGTAGAGTTAATCTGATGGTGGTTGTAGTTTGGTTATATAGTGAAACCTATGAGAGCCGGAACTCAATAGGACTGCCTTGTTTTTCCAGGTCTTGCAAGTTTCCGCCTTTGACAGGGTGCAGTCTTAATCACTTTTCTGTCACTCTGTTAGTGGAAAATACTTGCATTTTCCTTCTCTGACAGATTTCTGCCTTACACAGTTTCTGGCTTTCACAGGTTTTACTGTATAGGAGAATATAGAAAAAATACAGTAAAGTAGTTAGAAGTGATAAGGCATCAGATCAGTAACTTAATCTCAAATGGTCCATGGGAAAAAGTTATTTGTACTGTTACCTCCAAATTTCCTAAAAGTTTATGATTAAAAAATATCTAATATCCTGGCTCAGGTCAACAGCAGGTTGACTAGGGAGGCCTCAGACTCATAATCCAGATCCACAAGCCAGATCAGACCTGATCTTTACTATGTCCAGTGGTTGGAGCTGACCTCATTTGTGGTCACTCTTCTCTACTTAAAGGCCAAGATGGTGGAGCAGTCAGATGCTTCCAGTGGTCCCTCTTACAACAAAGACCCAAAAAAACAAGTGAATCGATTAGGGGCCCTGAACATTAAAGGCAAAGTTGAACAATCGGAGTGAGCAGCAGCGGGAGGGAAAGATGGTTCAGAAGCAGCAAGGAGTTGCCTGACCTGACCTGGTGGGAACCAGCACCCTGCAGCCAGCACATGCGATGAGGCACGCAGTGGTACTCGGGACGTGCTTTCCACATCGGGAGAGACTGAGCAGTGGAGAGTCTACTCAAGCCTCCAGAACCAGTGAAAGGCAGCGCTCAATCGGCAAAAAGATAAGTACATGCGTCTAACCTACTGCACAGATCAGAAAACACCCACTTTGGGAAAAACCTCTCTCCCATTTACCTGCCCCCTCCCCACTCTGCACTGGGTCCAGGGTGGCTTCAGCTATTGCCCAGTCCCCTGGGCCGGAAGTAAGGACCCGTCACACACCCTGAGCCATTGGGAACAAATTAACAAATGGAAAAAATAATCTGCCAGCTCCTCTAAGCTGGGAACTTAGAGTAGGCACAGCTCTTTTGCCTAGGCACAGGCATAAAGGGTCCATGGACTTTGCATGCCTTTCACGCCTGCAGTCCTGTGTGGGCCCATTTCAACATTGTAGGCCCTCATTAGCACAGTACAACAGGGTATATACCTGAAGCCTAACTTCAGCTCTTTCAGCTATACGGTAAAGTGGCAGGTTTGTGACATTTGACACCTCTCTGCCCATTAAGCAGGGTGCTCACCCACATCAGGGGCCTGAGGACTGGTGGCTACACCCATGCCACCTAGGCACCCATGACAGGGGTACAAGAATAAGTGGTGCCTCGCAGTCTTTACAGCCAACAGCACTGGGTGGCCACAGTCCAGCTGCAAAACCCACCCACCTACGTGCTCTAGGGAATAGGGATGTACTTTCCTCCTAGACACTCGGGCAGCCATCAGCCCCCGCCTTGCTCAGCGTGTGACCCCCTACTGCAGCCAGATACCTGTGCTTACACTAATCACACCTGCCTGTCTAGGACTGTAGGTGAGAGCCTGCACCATATACTTGGTGACCAACTATGTGGACACCTGAGCTGAATCCATACAAGAAAAGTAAACAGACCCCTGGGCTCACATACCTAGTAACAGATCTAACCACCCGGTGACAGGACGTTAGAACTTCAAAGGCTCCAATAATCAAACTAGTTTACGCGAGCAGCCTATTTGGGCATACAAAAACAAAACAAAACAAGAAGCTAGGACACAGTAAACAGATGCTTACTGATGGCTCGGAGACAACAGTCAATATCACATAAAGAGGCAGACTATGATGGCTTCAGCAAGCTCCCAAAACAAAGAATCAAGAAATTTTCCGGAAGAAGAGAACTTCTTGGAATTACCAGAGGTAGTTCAAGAGATCAGGAAGGAGATCATCCAAAATGCAAAAAAAGCCAAGGAACACACAGACAAAGCAACAGAGGAACTTAACAAGATTAAAGCATAATGACAAATTTAACAGGCTGCAAGAATCCACAGACAGCAAACAGAAATCCAGAAGATTAACAATAAAATTTCAGAATTAGACAACTCAATACAAAGTCATGGGAGCAGAACTGAGGCAATGTAAGTCAGAATTAGTGAGACTGAAAATAAAGCACCTGACACCTACTTGTTTGAGGAAAAATCAGATAAAAGAAATTTTTAAAAATGAAGAAACCCAAAGAATTATTTGGGACTGTATCCAGAGGAATAACCTATGAGTGACTGGAATACAAGAATGGGGGGGATAACAGAAAATACAGAGAGAATTGTTAATGATTTGTTGGCAGAAAACTTCCCTGATACGGTGAAAAATGAGAAGATAACCATCCCAAGATGCTCCTTGAACCCCACACAAGGTAGATCCCAAAAGAAAGTCACCAAGACATATCATAATTAAACTTGCCAAAACCAGAGATAAAGAGAGAATTTTAAGAGCAGCTAGGGATAAACAAAAAGGCATCTACAAAGGAGTGTCAATAAGACTAAGCTCAGACTACTCAGCAGAAACCATGCAGGCAAGAAGGCAATGGAATGACATATATAAAACCTTGAAGGAAAAAAATTGCCAGCCAAGAATTATGTATCTAGCAACATCGTCTCTCAAATATGATGGCAAAATTAGGACATTTCCAGATAAACAGAAGTTTAGAGAATTTGCAAAAACCAAACCAAAATTACAAGAAATACTAAAGGGAGTCCTCTGGTTAGAAAATCAATAACATCAGATAACAGCCCAAGACTAGAACACAGGGCAGAGCAACCAGATATCAACCCAGACAGGAAAAACACAAAAACAAATCAAAGCTAAAACACTGAAAATAGGGAAACAGAGACTTCGATATGTAAAAGATGACAACATTAAAACAAAAAGGAGGCGCTAAAAAAGGTAGTCTAGATCTTTCACATGGAGAGGAACTCAAGGCGATATAAAGAAATAAAAGAGTGGTTTAAACTTAGAAAAATAGGGGTAAATATTAAGGTAACCACAAAGGAAATAATCCTACACATCAAAATAAAAAACAAGAAAAAATATAAAGACTCAGCAAATACAAAATGAACAACGACGAAAATACATAAAGAAAAACAGCTCAGCACAGAAAATTAAGTGGAACAAACCGTCAACAACACAAAAAGACATCAAAATGACAGCACTAAACTCATACCTATCAATAATTATGCTGAATGTAAATGGACCAAATGCACCAATAAACAGACAGTGGCGGTGGATAAAAAAACACGATCCATCTATATGCTGCCTGCAAGAGACACACCTTAGACTTAAGGACAAAAACAAAAACTCAAAGGATAGAGAAAAATATATCAAGCAAACAACAATCAAAGAAGAGCAGGAGTGGCAATATTAATTTCTGACAAAATAGAGTTTAAAGTAAAATCCACCACGAAAGACACTATATAATGATTAAAGGGTCAATACACCAGGAAGACATAACCATAATAAATATTTATGCATCCAATGACAGGGCTCCAGAATACGTAAAACAAACTCTAACAGCATTGAAAACAGAGATAGACAGCTCCACAATAATAGTAGGAGACTTCAACACACCACTTTTGGTGAAGGACAACACATGCAGAAATAAGC